CAAGCCAAGGAAGGTAAGACTTCTAATAAACCAACCAAAAAAATAGCATGCCACCAGGATTCTTTCTTTAATTCAAAATGAGCCATTGGAATTGGATTTTCTATTGCCTTGAGAGATAAATAGCTATTACTATTTGCACATGTTGATGGTGCTATTCTGTCTAGCTAGGGGTTTATTAAAGGAAGAAGGGAAACAAAGTTTCAAGCCACCCACTTGGTGGTGTTTTAAGTAATGAACAATGAGACTTAGTGGCTTCAAAGTATTTGTGGGAAAATATCATTATTTTTTCATTCCATTTGTCCATGAATTTTTTGAAGTCCAGGCATAAATAAATTCTGAAGCTTGCTGAGAGTTCTATTTTACTAATTTAAGTCTTAAAAAAAACAAACACACCAGTAAGTATGAGTCTATATCTTAAGTAACCAATTGATAACTTGAAAATTGGGCACTGCACACACTCTCAGATGAAGAACAAAAGCTGTGGTCTTCAGAAGGAATTACATCTCAACCTAAAGAAAACCGTCCCAATGAGCAGCAGTAGGACACATGGAGGAAAGATTGAAGTTGTCACATTATTTGAATCTACCGTCAACACCCACAGAAGTAGCGGCTGATACATCAAGCTCTATATTGCATTGGGCAACGCCACTGCAAAAGACCTCTTCAACGTGGTAAAAAGCAAAGAGGTGAATTGCAGACTAATGTGTGCCTGAGCCCAGCTATGGCATTTGCACTCACCTATGAGCAGGCTGGACCATAAGTAAGGAACACGGGGGAAGGTCTGACTCCTTCGAATATTCTATATACCATAAACTTCCAGAAGAATCAATCTCTCTCTCTCTCTCTCTCTCTCTCTGAAGAACTCCAGCCAGAATGTTCGTCGGAAGTGAGGATATAAGAAGTTGCCTCAAGCACTCTGGACATGTTATCAGGAAGGACCAGTCCCTGGAGAAGGACACTGTGCTTGGGAAAAGCAAAGGGTGAGCAACATAGAGGAAGCTCCTCCATGAGATGAACTGACAACATGGCTGTAACCATGAGCTCAAACGTAGCAAATGATGCAGAGCTGGGCTGTGTTTCACACTATTGTACACTTGCTAAATATAGGAGCTGCCTTGATGGCACCAAATGACCACAATAAGCATCCACAAACCAAGTACAGCTTTCCCAGCTTTTCCAAAACACACGTCTCTGGGCATCAAAGAAAACTCATCTCTTATGGAAGCCTAATGAAGTGCAACTGAAAATAACAGTCATCAACTGTGGGTTTAGAGGCAATATTTCAACCTAATCAAATGTGTCAAATATTCACCCATACAGCTTCTTCTGCTGTGGGTTAGAAGTAAGTTTCATTTCTTGAGACTGATTGAACATAACCCACTTGGGGGCCCTGCCATCTGTGAATTACTTACATGTGAACTACACTCTGTTAAGCAATGGAAATGCTGATTGTTTCTCTTTCCTTGCAGATTGAACCGAAACACAATTGAATATGGCTTTTTAAGCAATTACTTTCTCATATTATTGGCTACACGGCTATGTTTCCACACAATCCCTACTACCATCACTTATCAAGTCACAGGAATCAAGTATGGGGGTGGCTGGCATGGTGGAAGCAGCATCAGGTAGGACAGGTGACACAGAAACGTTCCTGGATCCCCCCAAATCTGCACTCTCTGCCTCCATGCCCTGCCACATGGAGCCTCTGCTGCGCTGTGCTTAGGTTTATGAGTTGGGGCTGGCTGTTGCTTCCCCAAGGGGTTCTTCTGTGGAGGCTTGTCCTCTTAGCATCGAGAAAAGAGTCAGTGTGACCCTCGGGCTGCATAAAGGAGTCCTGGTGACATAAAGGTTGAGTATCAGCTTCTAAGATTAACCCTACCTAGATACGGCAGAAGAAAGAGCTGGCGAGGGCAGCCTAGAAAGCCTTTTGCAAGGAGTTCTACTCTGTCCCTGAGTTCAAGATCAACCTGAAGGCAGCTAACAACAACAACAACAACAGAGGGCTATAGCTGGTTCCATAGATGCATTATCCCCTCGGAGAGTTTGCACCATCACAGCAAGCACGGAGAGGACTGGCTCAGGCAAACCGAAACATGGTGACTCTCCGGAGATGATGGGGTCTTCAGAAAACTTCCCCCCAAGGCTTCAATCCATCACATTAACACTATACCTAGTTTTACTTCTGTTTAGAGCTGCACTGTGCGCCAGAGTGTAATTGAAATTGTACACAAGCCATGTTTTAAAGGAGGGAAAAGAAACAAGCAAAACAAAATTCAAAATTTATTTAACCCAATATACCAAATATATTATTAGATAGACATGTAATCGCTATGGAAATTATTAATGAAACATTCATATCCTTTTGTCCCATTTAAGTTTATGATATTCAGTGAAAAATCCACACCGAAGCCGCAGTTCAATGGGACCTACTCATGATTCAAGTACTCAATAGCCACACAGACAGCACAAGTCTAAGTAATCCACATGTTTGGACATGCAGAGACATATCAATAAAGTTAATTACCTACCTACCTACATGTCTGCTTTTTCTTTCTTTTTTCGACGTTAGAACAGACCCTCCACAAACATCTTCACTTCTTCACATCCCTTACCCGTTGCACAACAGGGGTGTTAAAGTCTGTTGGCTGGGGTAGCCCTGATGCTGGGATAGAGAAGCGTGATCATATTTACATGTCAGCCCCCATCTGGGGAAGAGGGGGCACGGCAGAATGAGCAAAGCCGGGGAAGTGCTGCTGAGATCTTTGCCAGACGAGTGTGTGTCCTACAATCATGAGCGGCATTCCATTAAGAGTCTACTCTTCGGGCCTCAGGTTTACATTGACAGAGAATACCAAAATATGGGGCAGATAGTTCCCCCTTTTGTCCACTGAACCACAGTCATTTGATAATTTGCCAGCATTTCTCCTTAAATTAGTCTATTCAGCTTTGCAATTATAATACAGCCCTATCCTGCAATTCGGAACCATCTGAAGTTGTCTTTTAGAGAAGTTAAAGAATCTATCAGAAAGAGAGCAATGATCATTGCCTGTAAGGAAGGCAACACTGACTTCTTCAGTTGCCTTTAGTACAGTGTCTACGTGATAGAAACAGGAAGCGAAGCATGGGTGGGTTTTCTGCATGCTAAGCATGGCAATGCATTAATCAGACACTCATTTTCCAGTATACTGACATGATAAAAATAAGCAGCAAATTACAGTTTTTCTCTTTTATGCAATTCTTTGCTCTCATGTAATTTTTCTCTTCCCCCAATCCAATATATTCAGGATTAGCATAGTTTCAATCAAAGTGTGGGGAAAAAAAGAGAGAGAGAGATACCACATACTGGTTTTGTTTGTACTCATCAGTAAAGTAGAAAACACACACCTGATTTTTATTAATGTTCCATTAAATACCTTTCCTTAAAAGGATAGTGTTGAGTAGGATAGTGAGAGTGTGTTATATCTAAAATACTGTCAGAAGAGTTGCTGCAGTGTGGAATACAAGAAATAGCCTAACATACTGTCACAGAACTATTATTCAATGTCCAGTCATTGGGGAGCAGGAACTCTGTTGGCGCCGTGGGTTACACATCAGGCTGCTAACCACAAGGTAGGTAGTTCAAACCATCAGCTGCTCCCCGGGAGAAAGATGAGGCTGTCTGTCCTCAAGAAGATTTATGGTCTGGTAACTCTACAGAGGGTGACTATGAGTCAGAATCAACGAGGATAGTGTTGATTTTGCTTTTAGATGATAGATATGATGATTCCTAACTCATATCCATTGACATTAGTTGTTGATAATAATTTATAATGAACTGGGAGAAACGCTTTAGCTCACTTAGCGTTTTAAAATACCTTTAAAATGTCACCCTACCCCTTAGAAATTATAGACAGAAAGGCTTAAATTTGGGGGAAAATAAAGTTTTGCTTTTGGAAAATGTTTTAACCTGGTTAAATTACCGACGATGGCCTACTGCACTCACAGGTAATCCCGAGCCATGTTCTACCTCTCAGTCTCTCATGGGGCTTCAAAAAGTTTGTGGAATCATCCACTATCTTTTAATTCCATCTTTCAACAAGGTTTTGAAGCCTCCTATATCTGAATGTATGAGCCACAATCACAGTCCTTCAAGGGAACTCAGGATTTAGCAGAAAGCCTGACCCTGCTATAAAAACAGAAGACATTGTCAGTTCAGGAAACAGTCCCCTCTCGTTACAAGCATTTTCAGTATACGTAGAATAGTGAAACACTTCTCCAGTTGGAATGTTGAGCTTTAGACACCTAAGTGAAATGTATCATTGTGGCAGCTTGAAGCTGTATCACCACATACCGTGCATGGTTTTGGCAAAGCATTGCCTTGCAAGGCTGGAAATATATCACCTTTAGCCTTGGGCATATGTACTTAGAGTTAAAGGAAACCCAGCCGCCTACAGTTTATATGTTTGGCTACTAACCAAAAGGTTGGAAGTTGGATTCCATCCAGATACACCTTGGTAGAAAAGCCTAGAAATATACTTCCGAAACAGTTGGCCAGTGAAAACTTTATGGAGCAGAGTTGGACACCCACACACCCAGGGCACCCATAAGTTGGGATTGCTTGGATGGCAACTGGTACAAACAGCAGTGGTCATGAGTGTCCACTCTGGAGTGGGACTGCGGGGTTAAATCCCTGTCTCAGCCACTTGGAGACTCTGTGACTTTAGGTAAGTTACCAAACCTTGCTCAGCTTTGACTTCAGCGTCAAGAAAATAGATCGTATACATACCTTGGTGTGGAAGTTTGGATCTGCATACAGCATTTTTTTTTAAAAGGCATGGCTCATTATCAGTCATTAAATAATGTCTATCATTATAGCTCATACTAGCTGTTACTACTATTAATATTCTATGTTCTATCAAAAGGTCTCTAAGTAATGATCTACTTAAGACTTTAAAGTTCAGTTAGTCTCTGGATAAAGCACTTTGATCTTTTATTAGAAAGGCAAGCGGCAGGGTACCTACTGGAACAACAAGTTTCAAACTCTGGCCACTGGAGTGTGAAGC